AACATTGATGGGGAAAACCTGGAAGAAGTCACCGACTTCTGTTATCTGGGCTGCCACATAAGAAATGACAACCGTCTTGTGTCCGAAATCCCTGCACGTATAGCGGGAGCTGCTGCCACCGTCGGCAAGTTAAATCGGCGTGTGTGGAAATCTCACGACATCATACTGCAGTCGAAGCTTGTTGTTTACCGTGCCGTAGTACTGCTGACCTTTTTAAACACCGCTGAAACCTGGTGCCTGTATAAATGTGACATTAGGAGGCTGGACGCGTTTCTCACAAAATGCCTACATTCCATCTTTTGCATCAAATGGCCGGATCGTGTCACAAAATGTCGAAGTTCTTCGTCACTCAAATACTCACGGCTTGGAGGCTCTACTGATGAGAGGACAAGTGTGATGGTGCGGCCACATCCAGCGGACAGAAGACTGTAGACCACCAAAGAGCTATTCTTTTAATTTGATTCTTTTAAAACGCAGCTTAAGACACTTTTATTTCGCCAAGCTTTTAGTTAAATGTTTTACTGTTTTTTCCAGCTGTTTTTACTGTTTTTATTAATGAGTTGTTATTATTTTATTTCATTTTAAGCTTTTATTTTTTATTGTTGTACAGCACTTTGTGATTGTATCTATGATAAGTGCTATATAAATAAAGTTTACTTACTTACTTACTTACTTACTATTCTACTCAGAGCGTCAAATGGGAAGTGCAACTCTGGAGGGCAGTATCTTTGCTATAAGGACGTCTTCAAACATAATCTGACTGTGTGTAATTTGGCCACCGAAGACTGGGAGGAGGCTGCTCAAAGATCAATTTGGCGTTCAAAGGTCAAGAAAGGCGTCTCAAACTTTGAAAACTCTCGCCTTTCCGAGTTAGACCTAAACCCTCCTACAACAGTGCGGGCCAGCTACACTGCGTGACCTGCAACCGATTATTTAAGACAAAGTTCGGATTTGCCAGCCACATATGACCACATGCCAGAAGCTAGCCAGGGTTGCCATCGTCGGACACGACATATCATCATCATCATCATAATTTATACAGAAGCATATTTGAAATTGCTCAATGGTGCAAGGTGCAATGCAGTGGTATTAAACCGTAAAACAGAAACCATGTGCTGCGTGTGAAAACTAATGTACTGTAATGTACACAGCTTGTTTAGAATATTGTTTGGACACTTAGAAGTGCATTGACTCATCAGATGTTACATTTATATTATAGCTGGATGGTGCAATCTCCCATGTGAAGCCAAAATCGATGTAAATTAGAACCATTTTATCAGCATGGAGTTGTGTAAAAGAGCAATCAGCCTTATGAAGTGGGCTGATATCACATAATGAGATTAATTAAACTAGTAGTAAAATTGCAAAGGTTATGAGACGGCCAAACGAACAGAACCAATAAAGCAGACTACTAATGATTGTGCACAGTTCAGTCCTTTTGTTTGTTTTTAATGCTGCACAAAAATAAATCTTTCCTTTATGTTCCATTCATAAGATTCAAGAAAGTTTTGTGTCATTTTAAAAACTAAGGATGAAACAAAGTATTACAGGCTTCAGCAAATAAACATTATGAAATAAAAATAAATAACTCTATCAAAATAGTTGTAAAAATATTTAAAAAAAGCAAATACTAAACAGTGTAAAACAATCCAAAACCAATTAAGTAACAGCAGAGCGCTGTAATTAAAGTTCATAGCAGTAAATTAAAGTGCGAAGCCAAAGCTTCTTCATGGCTTTGTTGAGCAATCCATCCATGTGATTGCATCTATATAAGTGGATATTAATAAACACCTAATGTATAAATAAGTACATCATGTAACAAAACTCACTAATCTAATTATTATGCAAATAAGATATTTATAGGATTTAAACGAGAGGATGTATGTATTTAAAAATGAATGGGTTTATTAAATGGAAGTGTGCTAATCTCAAATTTATGAGCTTCTTCCTCGTGTTGATGTGAGTCAAATATCCACTGTGCTCATCGTTAAAGCTGAAATTACCACGGAGCACCCAGGGGACAAAAAGCAGTTCTTTACAAGTTTGACTTTTGAGTCTGGTGCCATCTTGTGATAATTGCATTATCTCAAGATAGACAGAATCTCAGCACTGAACAAGATCTATTTTACAACTGTTGTTTAAAATGGTGATTGGCTCCAGGATCTTTTAGACCCTGGTGGACCCTTCCAAAGCTGGAAATAGATTTTTACAGCTACTCTTCTGTAATTGGAGGCTTTGGTTTGCCAAAACCAGCACCTCATGTCACAGAAACACTGATCATCTCTTTTCTTACTGAATATGCATAGTTATAATCATGCTGTTAATAATTCTTTTCATACTTAAGCTTATTTAAGCATCTTTAAAGGGGGACTTGTGTGCATTATTGTCTGCTTTTCTGTTTACTATACTGTGTAAACCTTGTTGCACCAAGTTACCAGGATAAATTCCTTATTTGTCTAGTCCTGACAGCTGATTTAGAATATTTCCCACGTCTTCATGGGGGAGCAAAAGAGCAACAACTGCCAAATTCTGCAGTGCTGTATTAAATATTTAAGAATATATAATTTGTTACCTTGGATAACATAAACTAATGCAGTATGTGGGAATTCAACTTCCATAGTATTTAATTAACTCCTGATAATTATTATGAAATATAAATGTAACCCAACATGACTGACTTACCAGCCCTTTTTAAATATATAAATATGAATGACTGGTGGTCATAGGATGAATTGGTGTCATTCATTATTTCTAATCTGAAAAAAATATGAGTGAAAATTTAATGAGCAAAGATACTGTACAATTACAGTTGAGCAGAAACTCAAGACAAACTCAAACGACTTTAAATGGAAAACTGTACTTGTATCATTTATTTGGGTCGATCACCAGCAGTGCCACAAAGTGCTGCTTGGATCCTTTAAGGTCGTGCATTTTGCTTTCTGTGACTTCTCTTTCAGCTCCTGTCTTTGTGAGAGATTCTAGTCAAAGTTTAATTTACCTCAGTCAGAAGTTGTAAATAATAAAGCAGGGGATGAAACCTTTAGGGCGACACAACCAATGTGATCTGTCTTCTTTGTTTGAATGCACTGCCGTTCTGCTTTGCGCTTCATTAGACTTTCTGAGGTTCTTACATTTTCTAAGATAAATTATTCAATATTAGACAGAGCTGTCCTCTTATTACAATATAATTGCATGGCTGTGCATAATATAGACATATTGTATGCTCATTAGATGGCTTAAATTTGAGATACCTGTTCATTAAAAACATTATTCCAACAGACTGTTGTGAAATACATTCACTGGTAACAAACAAAAAAAGAGAAAATAAATAACAATATAAAATCAGAAATAAATAGGAATACTAATAGCAGAGGTGCAGCTTCAATGTTACGACATTATTGATCTTTTGTGTTTTTGGATAAATATTATTTTTAACTATTTATTTGAGTTAAACTTTTGATATGTGGTAATTTACAACAACACATTAAGCTACTGAAACCAGAGCAGCAATACGTTAATGTGTGGACAGTTCATTTCTTAGAATAAAGTCTCCAGAGTTCAATAAAGTAAACTCAGATCAGCATTGATAAGCTTTTTCCTACGTTCTTCGTGAATGTTTAGTCAAATTAATCAATGTTTAGTCAAATTAATCATAATTATTTTGTGCACACTTAAAAATATATATTTACATGTTAATTGTTCAAACATGATGATGCATGATTTTATTTATATTTTCACTCTTTTGTTTCATGATGTTCCATATATTAAAAAATCCTATTGTAATTTGAAACACGCACACACCCACACATATACATCTCTCTCTCTCTCTCTCTCTCTCTCTCTCTCTCT